AAGCTTTCAGGGGTATATTGGTCATTTTATTTTATTGGAAATATTTTTTTTATATTTTTCGCTAGAGCAAGTTTAATAGAGGATTGGACGTCCAAAATTTGGTGTCAAAATAGTTTATAGAAAAAAATTAAAAATAAAATAGTGTAGAGACGTGACATTGTGATTGAGGCAATCTTAGCCTTCCATTCAGAATGGACAGTTGGATAAGGGGAAGTATATAAGTTTTATATGGTAGGAGAAGCATAGAAAGCTTGCCTTTTACTGCAATATTACATATGTATTTGAAACTAATATATTGGAGAGACAAAGTGAAAAGAAAAAAAAATCACAGTTTTCTTTTTACTTTTATAATTACTACCAATCTAGACAAATATTACTGATATTGCAGTAAATATTAGAAAGATAAGAAAGAGACCAAATACTGCTGATATTTACAGTAAATATTACCGGTATATTGCATATCAATAGTTTTACTGATATAGCTGGTCAGTAATATTACTGATATTACTGACGAGTAATTTACTATAAATCACTAAATTAAAAGAGAGAGAGGGTAATATACCTTCAATGGGGATGTCCTCAAGCTTCAAGACACACACACACACAACCTCAACGAAGCTCTAACATGGCCGAAAGATCCTCAAGCAAGATAGCCCTAAAATGGCAAAAAGCTTTGACAGAGAGGAGGCAGACTAGAGGAGAGAATGAAGAAAGAGAGAGGAAAGAAAATGTTCTGTGCAGAGAGAGAGCCTTCTGGTATATTACACCCAAACCCCCATTCCCCCCCCCCCCACCCCACCACCCAACCATGCCTCAAGGTTTCCCAGGCCTTCCCAACTTCCAGGAAAAATTGGGCTCCCTACTTTCCCTGATCACATATGCTTTCCTCCTATCATATGGCAAAAGAAGTAGGGCCAGGGAACATGCTCGACTTTTCCCTGTTCCCAAATGCCCCCAGTGTCGACAACCAACACCATCACACGCATTACACAGGTAAAATCCATTCTGGAAGTGTTCCCATTCGCAGCCTAGGCCACCAAACAAAATCATTGATGCGTGCAAGGTAAGTGGAGCCCAATAAAATGGACCTACTGTGTGAAAACTTAGTGTGCACCTATTTAGTTTGACTAACTAAAACATAGGAAAACATCAACTCCATAGAATGCTTTTTCACAAACAGGTAAACTAGTTCTAGGGCTGAGAACTTGTGTTGCACAAATTTCTCTCATCCATCATCTCCTTTTCAGGATCTCGTATTCTTCTTGATTGCAGCAATCAATATCACTTTATTAGCTAGTCATAGTCTTCTATACGTGTCAGAGGGCTTGAGCCGCACAGGTGACCATGTACAACTCTTGAATCTCTCTCATGCAAAAGAATCACATATAACTACAATTGTCGTAAATCATACCCAAAGGTAAATGGCACCAATGACCAAAAATAAATGTCCCTAAATACTTTGCAAATCACTGGCAGCCCGTTCATAGTGCATCTCAAAGAAATTAATCTATAACCAAACATATCTACTGGTTCACATAAGCACCTAAGAGAGCCCACGCCAATATGATATTAGCCTTTAGGGATTACAATTGCCAATGGCAATTTACAAGCATTCATTCTCCAAGTTCGAGCTAAGCACTGTAGCACTTAGCAAGCACAATTCCGATCAAGCTACCCACCTTGGATACTAGCAAGTTCATAGATGATAGTACCTCATGGAGCCTAATTTATTTATCTTCCTAATAGTGCAGAATCTGTAGACTGTAAACAGTGATTTAACCAGAAAATGACAGGATCGTATCAGTGCATGACAGCAGAAACAGAAATTATCAAACCAATAAAGTAATGATATGCCTTTTTTACTTTGCCGGGGATCTCTAAACCATAATCAAGTAAAAACGCACAACATCAATGAAACAAAAGCTTCCTTTCCCTTCCATCAAAGTTTATCTTTTTCCGTTACTCAACAGAAGCCACCAAATGGCTCTCTCCAAGAGATCCTTTTTTCACTAACAATGACCAAATGCAGAAATATAACAGGAAAAGGCAGGGACTTTATTATTGGAAATTCATCATACAAAGTCAAAATTGTAGAATATAACTGTGTATATCAATGTCCAAGAATTTCACACAGGAAACGGAAAGGATCGAATTTAATCAGAATCAAGCTTTTTTAAGCATGCCACTCTTATAAAGAATTACACTTTCACAACAAAATAAGTTCAATATACACCAGTGGTTATGAATTGCACCAAAACAAGTATGTTATGTGTCTTTCTGAATGTCTGACTACCATGGTATAAATTTTCCATTTTAGATGTGCATAGAACATAAGTAGAGAAAAATGTCCTTAAACCACCTTCAGGCCAATTTTTGCACTTAAAAGCCTCTGGGAATCAATTACCTCCATAAAAGTATAGCACTACAATTGAATGCCACCTTGCTAATAAAATACCCCTACTGCTTTCCTATTTCAGCAGTGTATATATACTAAGTGAAGCAAATTTCTTAAATATGTTCAGTGCAACAACACTTGTATACTAAAAAGCTCATTAGTAAAAACAAGGTACAAATCAAACATAGGATATGTCTCTCTTATTCAACCTAAGCCACTTCCCATGCATAATAAACACAGATCATGCCTGCAACTAATCCTGCTGACCAGAAATGATTTTCAGCAGTCATAATTTTGAATTCCACCCATGTTTTCACATTCCACAGATCCAATCACCACAACTCAAATTTCAACCCCTCTTTAAACAGATCTGCAATCTTTGAATGCAGAAACATGTACTTCAGGAAAATCCAAAGAAAAAATCAACAAGATTACAGTTACAATTAAAAGGACATATTGATTTAGTAATCACGCAAATTTGACAGGTTAAAGGTCCAAAGAATTATGAATCATAAAACACTCTGGTTAAATAAAAAAATCCAAAAAATGTATCAAGAATAAGCCTAGACAATGCTTTCCAGTTTTCCATGGAACATTAGTATACATATAAATGAGGAAAATCTTCAGAATTGAGATTTTTTCTCTGGATTCTACGGATCAGATAAATTTGTGATTACCTACTGCTAGTATGAAACGTATACAACGTCCACATGACCAAATCAAAAGTTAATGCAGAAGTTTCAAAATCTAAAAAATCAAAATTCACATCTATATAAATAATTTATGGAAAACATAACGAAATAATTATAATAATAATAATTATAATAAAATAAAATAAAAGGATCAGGAAATTTACAGATCATTCCTTCTCCATATTTCAGAAATCATAGCCAAATTCAAGGGTCTAAATTGTAATCTCATCTTTTAGCGCCAAAAAGCAGAAAAGATAAATGCTACCTAAAGCTAACCCAAAAGCTTTTTCAAATAAAGCATGGAAGCAAAAGCAAATTCAATCGTTAAAAGTTAAAAACACTGCTACAAAACAAATGTTTTAAAAAAATGCAATTACACGCTCTCAATGGTCCATCATAAAATAGAAGATAAGGGATCAACAAGATAATCAAAGAAAAGAGAAGACGCTTGCCAAGTTTCATTGATGCATCAGATTGAGCAACATTTCTAGCCATAGCAACCATTAGAGCAATCCCATGCTCAGCAGCTGCAACAGTGTTGGCAGTGGGAGCATTAACAACTAAAACGCCACACTCTGTAGCTGCCTGTAAATCCACATTATCAATTCCAACCCCTGCTCTTCCCACTACCTTCAACCTCCCTTTAGAGGCCTCAAAAACCTCTCGATTCACCTTTGTTCCGCTCCTGACTATCAAAGCATCACACAGAGAGATCTTCGAGCAAAGATCCTCCGGTGTCAAATTGTATGAGCAATCAACATTTGCAAAGCTTCTCAATACCTCAAGGCCGGCCTCCCCAAGCTTCTCTGAAACTAGCACCGTAGGCTTCGAATCCGATGCCTTAACAGTGAGATCTCTGCGTTTAGAGAGAGAAACAACTCTAGAAATTGAGGATTTCAGGGGCTGGCCTAAGAAGGAAGCTGAAGCGAGAGAAGGACGTGGATTTTGACATTGTTTGAGAGAGAGATAGGAAAGTTGCAGAGAAGGTAAGCGCCTTGAAATTGGAGGCGTGAGTAAGGGTTTGGCGTTTGACGAAGCCATGAAAACCCTAATGAAACTCTTCAGAGCTCGCGTTCTCCTCTTCTTCTTCTTCTCGATAGTGAAAATGGATAGAGCAGCGACATTTATATGCGGATCCCGCCCCTCTGTGGCGCCACTTGATTTAACCATGGTTAAAGAAGAGTATATTTTCAAACCCGAATATAAAAAAAACAAAATGACACGGTTCTTTCTCTCCCACAATTGAGGGGCATTTAGACCCTCCGGATCACCGAATCCTGTAGGCCCCCTTTCTCGAAAAAAATTTTTGCCATGTTCTCCTTTTCGTTATATGTTGACTATTTTACCTATATTCAATCTGGGAAATCCAGGTTCGTCCTGCTCTCTCGCTCTCTTCGCTTTAGGAAAGGGCTTAGAGAGAGATAATATGGTTTAGACTTTAGAGTCTTTAGACTTTAGAGAAAGTGCAATGAGGGAATGTGAGCAGGGTGAGGTTTTCGGGGGGAGACTTTAGGGAGAGTGGCCCTTTTTCTCCTTTCGGGTGAGACTGAGGGATGAATTCCTCTCTATTGGTTTTTGTTGCTCAGTGATGATTGGCCCATGGCTGATCAAGGGGAATCGAAATTAAGATTGAGCCTCATTAAGATCTAGGAAAGCTTTCTATGTTCCCCTGTAAACATAGAAGTTCTATCTTTCCCGGTCGTCCATTTTTTATAAAGAGAGTCACACACCGTTTGATCTTAAATCCGACATCTCAAAGTATTTTATATGTAGTTTTTTTTAATATAAATTTTGGTATGTGTCATCTTCTCATTGGGACGTACCTATAAAATATATTAACAATAATATTTCGATAGAAATAATGACCAAAATACCTTTTGAAACTTTCAGAGGTATTTTGATCATTTTATTTTATTAAAAATATTTTTTTTATATTTTTTGTTAGTGCGAGTTTAATAGAATAATGGACGTCCAAAATTTGGTATCAAAATAGTTCATAAAAAATAATTAAAAATAAAATAATGTAGAGACGTGATATTGTGATTGGAGTAATCTTAGCCCTCTACTAAAAAATGCACCGTTGGATAAAGGGATAGAAATGTTGTAAGGGGAACATATAAAGTTTTCCCTTAATATTTAAGTTAAGCAAAATAGAACTATTGTAAGGGGAACATAGAAAGCTTTCCCCTTATATTTAAGTTAGGATTTTGCCGTGTTTTCATCATTAAGGGGTCGTTTGGATCCTAGGTTATCCAAAACTTTGTTTTGTATACCTAGGGTATATTGCATAAAAATTCGTTTTGGCAACTTTTTGGATACATAACCATGTTTTCTTCGACGAATAAAAAGGGCCAAAACATGGGTATACAATGTAAGCGGGAATACAACTTGTGACAACGCTATTTTCACACACCAGAGTGCTCACTTTATTAAATAAAATTAATTATGCCAAAATATCCATACAAATTAGAGAGAAACCCTTTCAAATTTTAAGTTTTAGAGCGATAAAGTATCTTAAAATTTTTAAAAAAATAATTATATCAAATTTTAAAGAGATAAATTACTAAAAAAAATTAGAGAGAGAACTATCTCAAATTTTTAAGAGAAAAACTATATCAAATTTCAAGTTTTAGAGAGAGAAAATATCTAAACAATTTTAGAGGGAGAAATTACCTAAAATTTTTTAAATAGATAAACTATATCAAATTTCAAGTTTTAGAGAGAAAGTATTGTAAATTTTTAGAGAGTGAAACTAAATCAAATTTTCAAGAGAGATACTACCTAACATTTTTTAGAGAGATAAATATCTGAAAATTTGATGTGAGAGAAACTATTTGAAAATTTCAAGTTTTAGAAAGAGAAAATATCTTGAAATTTTAGAGATATAAAATATATCAAAATTTAGAGAGAGTGACGATCTAAAAAATTTTAAGGAGAGGAACTATCTAAAAAATTTTAGAGAGAGAAACTATATTAAATTTCAAGTTCTAAAAAGATAAAGTATCTTAAAATTTTAAATAGAACAACATCTAAATTTGTAGAGAGAGGAACTATCTAAAAAATTTAAAGAGAAATTATTTCAAATTTTAAACTTTAGAGAGATATTGTATCTTAAAATTTTAGAGAAATAAACTATATCAAATTTTAGAGAGATAGACTACCTAAATATTTTTAGAGAGTAACTATCTTAGAACTTTTAGAGAGATGAACTATCTCAAATTTTAAGTATTAGAGAGAGAAACTATATAAAAAATTAGAGAAATAAGCAACATGTAACTTTTTAGAAATAGCTATCTCAAAAAATTTAGAGAGATAAATTATATCAAATTTCAAGTTTTAGAGATAATGTATCCTAAAACTTTAGAGAGATAAACTATAATAAGTTTTAAGGAGAAATTACCTAAAAATATTTAGAGAGAGAAACTATCGCAAAATTTTTAGAGAAAATTTCTCTAATTTTAAGTTTTAGAGAGGGAAAGATCTTAAAGTTTAGTGAGAGAAACTTTATCAAATTTTAGAAAGAGAAACTACCTGAAAATTTTTTGAGATATAAAATATCTCAAAATTATTAGAGAGAAATTTTCAACGATCTGAAATTTAAAATATTTAAAGAGAAAAACTATCTCAAAATATTTGGAGAGAAACTATATCAATTTAAAATTTTAGACAGTTTTTACTCTAAAAATGTTGAGATAGTTTCTCTCTCTAAAATTTGGTACAGTTTCTCTCTCTAAAAAAATTTTATGTTGAAACTTGTTTTTTATATGTATTGTTGCATATAATTTTTATATGAAGATATTTTACGCAAAAATGTTCATACCTAACAAATATGTCCTAAATAGTGTAAACCAAAGTTACGCAAATAGATGACCCAAACTAGGGATTTGCATAACCTGGGTATTATCTACAAGCTATCCAAACAGTCATTTCTTAATAACCAAGTTTTGGTATAATCAGGGTTTGCATAACCATGTTATGATCCAAAACATAGTTTTGTTTACGCTAGGATCCAAACAAGCTCTAAAGATGAGGACCAAAAGTGTCACAAGTTCAATGGTTTTACCCGATATTTTAAAAACCAAATTGGTAGAGTAGATTGTTCACCAGTAAATCCATGTCAAATTACTCGATTGATCGGTGATTCTGAACTGGTCTCACCAACAATCCAAAAAAGTGAAAATATAAATGAAACGAAATAATAATTTACAAGGAAGAAATACAAAAGGCACTTAAAAAAATTAAATAAGCTTCAATAAAAAAAATTATATCAGGTAGGTTTTGGGTAGGAGCCGGGCTGGGACCCTACCATCCCAAAATCAGTTGAGTCTTGACAGAGAGTTATGCAGAGTGGGTTAGTACGAGAAAATAAGGAAAAAGATGATTAGATGAAGAGTGAGGCAAGTGCGAGGGGAGCCACCATTGATGGGATGAGGGAGAAATTGTGGTAGAGCCCTAGAGAGGGGAGCCACCATTGATGGGATGAGGGAGAAATTGTGGTGAAGGCTTTTGTGAAAGAGTTTACACTAATATCCTTTAACATTTAACATTCGTTATTAGGTTCATGTTTTTTGACCTTTTGACCTTTGATGTTTGCATAAGGCGTCCTCTTTGTACTGTACAAGTAAATTCATCTACAATAAATTATTTAGATATATAGTTCAAAAATCTTATGATGGCTTGAAAATTTATTTTTATCCTTAATTGTAAAATTTAAAACTTAAAAAATAATTCAGATCAATCAAATCTATAAGCACTTGAAAATCTTAAAAGTAGATGGTTCAAATAACCTGTTACAAGGTACATTATTTTTAAGACTTCAAATTCTTTTTTTTAATTTCCTATCCACACATCAAAGTCGAGATAATAAATTTACTTGTTCTCTAATATTGGAATACTATTTGAGTTGTACCTTACTTCAATAGTACAAAGTTACAATATATACAAACTTTTTCCTGTTTGAAAATGCCCCTATTTTTAGACTTGGAAAATCTATTGTGAACTTCACCTTCAAAGTCCCAATTATGTTCATGAGAAAAACCTCTCGAATGAGATCTAGAGTTGAGGTTTCGGATAGCTTTCAGACCTTAAAATGTCTTGAGTTTTTAACTTCAAACATTGAAGGTCCAGATTAGTCATAAATATCAATATTAAGTTATTTCAAACTCTACTTCAGATCTTAGACTCAACTTTGAGAAGAATAAAAAGTGAGGAAAAAAATAAATAGGAAAGCAATAAGGGGGAAATTCTTAAATTATATTCGTAGGATGTCCGCATAAATTTCTCTAGTTTTGGCTTTGGAAATACCTGTATTTTGTTTGGGATGTCTAAGATGACTATAGATTTTATCAAATTGATAATGGCTAAAAAAGTGTTGAAAAAAGAGCATAGGTTTATAAAAAGGATAAGTTTATATGAAGTTTACATCTAAAAATGTAGAATTAAAGTGCATCTTTAATATCCTTCAAAGAAAGTTGTTTTAATATTGAAAAACATCTAATTCGTCATCTGACATCAACATATATAAATCGGAGAAATAATTCAAGCATTTAAAATAGTATATGTTGGTACACATTGTTTGGATCGTCTATTTTTTAATATTTATGTGCATTTATATATCTGCTTAATTTGAACAAAGTTTAGAACTTAAAATTTTATAATTAAACATAAAAATAGATTCTCGTACCATCTTAAAAATTTTATGACACTAAAATTGATACAATTTAGAGGGGCACCTTTAAATGTTTAAGATTGCAACTTTGTCGAAAAGCGGCTGGGGTCGTGGTGGTTGCACCCCACACCCTAGTCACTACGTTGTGGTTTTCATTGCCACCACTCCACTAATACCTTAAAAAAAGCTAAGTCTTAATTTATTTGAAAAAACAGGTAGATGCATGTCTTCCCCACTAAATTACTCGAAAAAAAAATTTATTGCAATCTCGTACAAACTAAAGCCTTGTTAAAAGGGAAAATTACAAAAAAAACCTCAAAGACTGCATATTCTATGTAACTTACCCCAATTTAACTTTTCTTTCACTTTTTTCCCTAAAATACACTTTCTAGTTAAATACTCCTAACCAATAAAAAATAAAAAGTACCTAAACTACCCT